TAGTGCCACTCCATGCAGGGTCCACAGGCTTGGCCAGTTCCTGAGTCTGGACACACAAGCCATGAACATGATACTGCAAACAGCTCTGCAGGCTGCTTCTCCCACCAGCAATCCCCCTCGTGCTAGGAGCTGAAGTTCAAACAGGTTTTGCCCCACCTTCCCTCCACCTCTCCCCCGGCACCACCCCTTCCGAGGGCTCTCCAGCTAACCTCAGCCTCCTTCTCGGAGGGGACCAGAGCAGGCAGAGGTGACCAGAGGAAGATGGCACACCGCAGCGGTGCCGGAGCCCAGCAAGAGCTGCGGCACACACCTCCCAGCCAGCGAGCAGCTCTGCGTACCAAGGCACATCCATCTGCGTCAAGGAGCACATGACGGCGCCGGCGTGCACGGAAGACGCCGGTCTGTGCAGCACACCCGGTCACGGACCTGCGCCTCTGCCTGTCGTAGCTGGAGGATCCATTTCCCATTGACGATAGGAAAAAATTACTGGGATCAGACACCAGCTCTTCTCTTACCCTTGCCGTTCCACACCCACAGGTCAGAGTTGTGCTGACAAGGGGGTCTGGTCCCTTCCAGCCAGGAGTGCTTGGCCAGCTGCAGCATTTCGCCTACAGGCACACACAGGTTACTCAGGACAAGCCTTGCTGGTGCTGCAATAGGACAAGTTGGTCGAGCATCACATCTTCAGCAGGGTCACCCCATCCAGCCAGGTCAGGAGGCCCTGCCACCCAGGAATTAAGGCCAGGCTAAACCATCCTTTGGCCAGGAAGGGAGGGACAATGTTCTGGGCTGGGATGTCACGTATTTGATAGGGACAAGGAATGATTTTCTGCCAAAGCTCAGGACTGTATGTCGGAGCTGCTGGTTCTCCCTGGATTTTTACACTCCTGATCCTCATCCCGTACACACAAAGCCTTTTTTCCTTCTCAGGACAAAGAAAACCAAGTTTTCTTTGTCCTGAGAAGGAAAAAAGAAACCAAGTTTTCTTTGTCACAGAGGGTCCTCTGGGCACCAGCAGCTTGCCCTGCATGCCACCCCTCCTCTCATCAGAATGCTCCAGTCCCTGGGGTCCCTTCTGGGGAGGCAGGGTGGCAGATTCATAGTGCTCAACGCGTCCCATCAGTGAGGCCAAGGGCAGAGCCAACGCTGTGGTCATGGTGTCACCAAGGTCACAGCACTGAGCAAGCACCTGAACAAAACTCATTGGCCACCAGCAGGACAGGGCCAGCAATTTAAATGCACATGCTTAAACCAGACTGGCACCACTGAAAAGATGGGCTGCCTTAGAAGCTCTGGGAACCTCTAAGAGAGCAGCCATAACCTACACAAGCTCTTAGACAAGAGCAGCTCCCTGTGGTAGCCCCTGGGCAAAGGGGAACCCAAGGGATGTGCCCTACAACAAGTTAGAGCAGCGAGGGACTGCTCTGATTTGAGCTAGACTGTAACCATTTCCTGACAGCCATCCATTTGTGACTAACAGAGGGTTAACACCCCATCTGCAACACCCCCCTCCAGCCAGGCTTGGGGGGAAGAGCAGAGCGGGGACAGCAAAGTTGCTCTTGCTCGCGACACCTCTCCCACACCAAGGGGATCCCCTTGCAACTGCTTTGTGTTCTCCTTCTGCAGCCCAGGTGGCCAAGAAGAGCGGCAGACCATCCCTCCGAAGTGCAGTGACAAGACCTTGCTGCCTTCAAATAGCACGCTTCTGGTCAGCAAGCTGGGAACTGTCAGCAGAGGGGTGCCAGTTTATTCACCCACCTTTACGTCGGTGGCATGCTTCTGTAGCACAGGTGATGCCAGAGTGCAGGATGAGAAGAGACGATTTGGGGCAACGACAAGTGGAGAAGTTCAGGCCTTCTCAATGTGGATGCCAAGCAGCAAGAAGTACATGAGGTTGATGCTTCTGCTGAAATGGTTCCTGGTTACAAGGACAGACACACAGAGCACAACTCAGAACCATCTACCAAGGTGAACAGAGAATGTTACTATTTCCAGGAGCCCTGAACCAAGCCTTTCACTTCTGGGTTCTCCTTTTCACAGCAGCCCTGTGCTCCCTACAGTTTTCCTTTTGTGGTACTTGAAAAAGTAGAGAAGCCTCCAGGCTGCTAACTTAGGTGGTGGCCGCAGTGACCCTCATGGAGTATTCCCTGGGACCAGCTTTTATTTCCTAGACAAAGCCCAATGAAGCATCAGCCCTTTGTTCCAAAAATTACATCCAAGGTCACCTGATCCAACATAAAGACCAGCTGTGGAATTTCTTTAAATGAAAGCTTAGATGGGGGAGCACGCCTGTGCCAGGGGATGGAGCTGAATGGCTGCTAACCCAGCCTGAAAGTTTTAAGGACTAAACTGCCTTTTCTGGTCGGTAACACAAATCCAAGTTTGCTAAAATTGGAAAGCCCACCGTGTGGTTCGCAGCTGGCGCTCACCCTTCCTGCAAGCTGGAAACCCCTATTGTCTCTGCAGCCCTGATCAGCCCCCCGCCCTTGGCAAGGGGATGCTCTTGTTGACTCAGCGCATCCTGCAGCCCTCCGTACACGTCCTGGGTGGGCTGGCCGGCTGGCTCACACTGCCTGAATCTCAGGGTGGAAACTAGCCGTGTCCTCTTTCCACCTTGCTGTGGGAAGGGAAACAGAGGTTTCTGCCACCCATCCCTTCCCTAGCTTCTTTTGCTGGCCCCTCTGAAGCTCTGCCCCGTGGGGCACCCTGAGCAGACAACATTAGGCACAGGGGCTAGGAAAGCAGCTAGCCTTGGGCTTCCCTGCTTAACTACACATGAAAAATCCAGTTTCAGCCTGGGCAGGCATTTAAAAGCCAACTTCCCTTTTCTGTCAAGGCAAAATGTGCCTGCAGGCACACAGGACTGTCTCGTCTTCTGCATTTTCGAGAGATCCTCCCTTGCATGCATTGCCTTTTACCCGCTGCAGCCTTCTGCTCAGAGCAGGTTGGAGAGGCCCAAGTGCTGCCTACACCAGTGACGCTGCAAATTCAGGTGCCATGTATGGGGGCAGCCGCTGCAAATGCTATATCGGGGGAAAACCAAAACCAAACCACCCCAAAATCCCAGGGCAGAAGGCCTGCATAAAACCTACAGTCCTGGCCTCCTGGATCCCAGCCTCATGTTCAACACTCATTCATCTCAAGATATAGTTCCAGTTTTCACTCTGGCCTTAAAGCTCCCCATGAAGTTGCTCTCACTGACCTTCACAATTTCTTTTCTCTCTGCCCCACTTCCAGTGGGGACCTCCACTGCTGCTGCCTCCCAGCAAAAGGGTCTCCATGACCTTTGCCATTCAACACACTGGGAAAGGCTCAATCCCTCTATTCCTAGCCCAATACAGACATTTAAAAGCCCTCTTTGTTCCTGCTACAAACCCTACCCCACAACCGTGGCTTAACCCTTAGGGCACTGCCTCAACTAAAGAGTGCTTCACAGAAGCAAGGCAGGTCGCAGCATCCATGGGAAGCTGGACCTACCTTCCACCTACGGAAGAGCTGTGCTGATGATCTGCCGGTGGCTTGCAGGACGCATCGGGGCAGGAGGCAGGGGAAGGGAGATGTCTCTGACCATCCTCATCACCAGTACAAACTACTACCAAGATGTGCCTGTGGGCATCCTGTGCCCCACACGGCTGCAGTGACATGGGCATGGGTTGGGCTCGCAGCTCTTAATAGACTCCTGGTTTTGCTTTGCCTGCCCTCAGTTTGGCAGGTTTATTACAAAACATGCCTCATGCACGCAGAGTTGGGGCCTCAAGGAAGGAATAGGGGTGAGGAAGGAGCAGGCACTCCCCTTGTCACCCCTGCAAGGACTCCTCTGCTCCTGCCCCCAGGCACAGCCATTGCTCCATGCCCAGGTGCAAAGCAGACGCAGCGAGGGGTGCCATGCCATTACCTCCACAGCCTGCACGTAGGCGAGAGTGCAGTGACAGCACTCCTGATTCCAGGCTTGTCTGAGATAAGCTCAGACCCACATCCCAAGCAGCAGCCCATAAATCACACGTTGGAGGAAGCAGTGCCACGGGACTCTCCGAAATCATACACCCTGCACATGGGAATGCAGAGGGGGTGGGAGGCACAGCCCACCCACCCTGCCCTAGCAAGATCACTGGCACAGGAGAAGGCAGTATGGAGCTTTGCGGCACCCAGAAATGCCAGCTCCGCAGCTGGGATGGAACAGAGCTGCCCTGCAGCACCCTGAAACACCAGCTCCATGCTAGACAGAGCAGGCCTGCACCACTGCACCCCAAAACATCACGTCTGCAGACGGGATGGGGTAGGGCCACCTTGCAGCACCCCAAAATGCCATTTCCTACCAGCTGCTGTAACTTCCCCTCTGCCCCTTTCCGGTCCCACTCTGCCCCTCCCTGCTCCCCAGGCCACAGGGAAACTGAGTCACAGCGTGGTGTCCCTGCCCCAAGGAGGGAGAGTGGGCAGGCAGCCCCCAGCACTGGGCACAGCCTGGAAAGTTAGGGCGAGGGTGGTACTGACACTTCTGAAAAGCCCAGCGATAGGGAGAGATAAAGATACCTACATGCCCTGCACTAAGCAACTCTCTGAATTACAAGCCTCCTCTGCTCCCACCTCTCTTGAAGCAGAAGTTGCCCCTACTCTGCTGCTGGCCATACGGACTGAGGCCAGCTCTGCTGGACACGCAGACTGCCCCACATGCTCTCTGGCACGGGGACAGGGGACATGCAGGGCTCTGCACCCGATGCACATAACTCAGCATGGCCCAGAAAAGAAAGCTAATGCCACATAGGAACAAAAACCCAACCCAAACCAAACAAACAAAGAAACAAAATTAAAGACCCAGATATAGCATTATAAACCAGAAAAGTGCCTTGGCTCCCAAAAAGCTGGTAGCAGATTGGATGTTTCCTTGAGAGCAGATAATTGCATTCTTTACTTTGAAAGATTCATGCATTTGAGTAAAGACTTGGATTCTCCAGTCTAGTTCTAGGAGCCAATAGGTTTCAAGGTACTGCCCTCAGCCTCTCCATTTTCACCACACTCCTCCAAAACCCCTTTCAGACCCTGCTCGCCAGTTAAGCTTTCCCAGGACTGGGTGCTATCTGCAGCCCTTGCTCTGTCTGAGACAGCAGTGCTCACCCACATCAGCATCCCTTAAAATCCCTACGTCTGGTGCAGTAGCAAATCACCACCCGTCTACCTCGCAGGCAGAGAGGCTAAAGATAAAGACTTGTTCATCAGGCTCTAGGTCAGACATCTCACTAATGTTATTAAAGTTATGGTTTCTTCACTGCATTTCTCAAGATCTCAGTAAAGTTAAGAGAGCCCAGCATTGTCACATGGGCCACTGAATGGGAACACAGAGCTTGAGCTGCAGAAAATGCACAGCTATTATGCACTGCCCATCTGCAAATCTACTGGCATCTTTCCCCAAGTTCACGTCTCTTGGTTGCCTCACTCCACCTTCCTGGGGACTCCCTGAAAACAGGCCCTTTCACCCTCGCCCCAGGAAACGTGTCCAGGTGGTATTTGCTGCTGTTGTCATTGCAAAGCACAACGTTATTGCCAACATGCTTGCCCCAGCTCTATCTCCCAGGACAACATAACAGTAGATTAAACTCATTATCTCCTATCACTTTATGGCACAATCTTTTCATTTCTCTGTTAACACACATCTGAGACGTATCGAGTTTCAGGCAGGCTCACTGCAAAGGAAATGCCCTGCTCTTTCCTTACAAGAATTTGCACATGCAATACCTTTTCTTTCTGGTAGCAAAAAAAGGCCAAATCGAACTACCACCCCATCCTAAAACCCAAAAAACACTCCAAAAAAACCACTCGGAGGTTCACTTAAGGACAGAATTTGACTTTTCTCTCCAGACCACCACTTTGGTCAGACCTTTCCCAGGCTCTGGAGGGCAACATTCTCACTACTGCTCACACTGGTGCAGCTCCATCAGCAGCATTTGGGCCGATGTAGTAAGAAAGCCTTCAAGGGTGAGATGCCTTTTCCTTCCCAAAAGCGACCAGCACACGTACACAGGCATTTCCTGGTAAACTGCTCCTCCTTGCTTCCAGCCTCTGCTACAGAGCTGGCCTCTGATAGCAGCCTTCCTCCGGAAGCACCACCGTGTTCTGCTCGGTTATGCGTAACATTATGCGATTGTAT